CCTTGCGTAGTTACTACAAGAGGGGGTGACACAATTTGGGTTTATGGTCGTGACTGCAGAGGTGATCTGCAGGTTTTGATCCTGCTGGAAATCTGGAATCTTAATTCTATCCACTAGGGGAACAACATTATCACCCCTATAAATTGCATCTAGAGGCTTCGGCTAAAGACGGGTGAGTTGGGTCGGGGAAATTTATACTTTGCATGGATTCTCAACTTGTAATAGTTCTTTATGATTAAATAAATAAATGACACCAACTTGATTGCGGGATTAAAAAAAAAAATAATAATAATAGATTATAATCTACATATTAAATTTAATATAAATCTAAAAATCAAGAATCAAATTAAGTTGAATTATTAAAATTCTTATTTTTTATTATTACTTATAGTTAGACATTATTATTTAATTTTTAATTTTTTTTTTAAAGTGGAATATGCGTATAATATGTAATCTTTATTGATACATTTATATATTTAGACAGATACCAAGTATCTCTACAAATTAACCAGAAATTGGTTGATATAAGATACCCTTTTATGTCTTTACAATTAATTTGTAGATTAATACTGCCTAGTATATATATTACTATAAGACTAGCTACACTAACCACTATTATCCAACTATGCATCCATTTAAACATCTCGAGAATATATTGTATCCACATGTCAGGTAGGACGTTAACAGAGAGAAAATCCCATCACTAGTTAAAACCTGCCTAAATCTGCTGGTTCATTATTGCAGGAAGCAAGTTATTATAAAATATTATTATAGAGACTAACACCAGTATTTCAGTTACTGTTATCATTAATCTTTAAAATATGCTACTAGTATAGTATCACACTACTATTTTCATCACCTGTAGAACTGGTGTCCTTGCTTGGATTTCAATTTAATCTTAATGATTCTCATTAGACTCACTTGGTTTTAACAATTTTTACCTAAATTGTCATCTCTTGTGACAAATGACCTTTGCTCTTTCAGTTCATTTAAGTTCAAGAGAACACCACTTATGGAATAGATCTTTAAGCTCCAGATTGAAATAGATCTTGCTTAGAGTTAGCCTCTTTGTATTGTGTGATGAAGTCTGCCATCACCAGTTTGGATTAGAATTTTGTAGACTTATACCGGAGTTAAACCAGAAGCCTTTTCTCATACAACCTTTCTTGTTTCGACTTGTTTTCAACTTGTGATTATCGGAAAGACCAGAGGTTTCATCTTCATACAATCTAACTGAATTTGAAAGTAGATTATCAGCTGATTGGATATAACATAAATTGGAAGCCAGTTAATCAATCATGAAGGTGATAAATTTTTGTAACCAGGTGGAATTGAATCCTAGATCTTCTTCTAGTAACCTATGGAACATTATCACTATGCTATAGACCCATAAGGTCATTATTTAATTTTTACTATTTTAAATAGTAATTAAAAATATATAGAAACCATTTGAATTTTATACTATTTTTTTAAAATAACCATTATCAAAAAAACTTTTTATTGAATTGAAATAAAATTATTTTTGTATTTTAAAACTTGAAAAGATATTAGATATTATAAAGAGAAAATTATTAAACCATTTTGTTTTAAATTGGACTTTTTTTATATTTGTTACAATAATATTTTAACCAATTATTATATATTAATCAGATAATTATTATATCACATTTTCTTTAAAATTACAATTTTAATGCCTATTAGATTAGTATATAAAATGGCTTCATATAAGAAACAGTACTTAATAGCCATATTAATTTTATTTAATTACTTTTATATAAGTGCACTAATTACTATACTATTGGTTTATAAGTTTATTATTTATTATTATTTGATAAAGTTAGAATTTATTTGAACGCTTACATCTTTAATAAATATCTTTTGATATTTTTTTAAAATTTTAATCGTGACAAGAGGAGTAAGATATGATTGAAAAGATTTTAATACAGTATGCAAAAAATCCGAATTTTAACCGAACTCCAATTAAGACACGGCTTCTGAAACCCGATGAACCGAACCAGACTTATTAACAAATAAAAAATTTATTCATCTAAATTAAATAAAGTATCATGGTTTAATTCGATTATCATAACGATAATGAACCGCAGTTTACCAGTGGAAATTTCCATCAAGTATGGAAGGCGGACTCCGAAAATCGTATAAGATACGTAAGTCGGCGTAATCTCTGATTTTTAATATATATCTCACCTGGCGTCTTTGAACTTGATCGAAGAAAAAACAATGACAAACAAACGTGATAATTTCTCAAATCCTGGTTATACAGTTGATTCTCCACCACCTTATACTCCCTCTTCGAGCTCTCAAGGTGCAACCGAAAGTACGCGTGTATACACAGACGCACCCAAAAATTCATACTCTGCAATACCTACTCCTGTGTATACTCCACCCTCGCAACAGACGCAATCTTCTCCTGAAACAGTCGTTTTGACTGCAGCAATACCACTAAATAATTTGCGAGCAGAGCCAGCGGTAACTACGTGCCCACATTGTAATCATGTTGTTTTGAGTTCTACGGACTTTAGAGCAGGTTCAGCTACCTGGTTATCCTCTTTCGCCTTGTTTCTGTTTGGAATTACCTCGTGGGGATGCTGTTTGTTTCCTTTTTGTGTAAGTATACAATTTCTGTAAATTAATTATTTTTAGTTGTTTTTTTTTTTTCTAAAATTATAACTGCTTGAAATCATTTATTCTACAGATAAGTGACTTAAAAGATTGTATCCATTCATGTCCAAATTGCGGTCGCATCATGGCTAAATACTCAAGATTGGACGGGAAGGTATATAAATATCTAGGAGATCAATTTGAGTAGAGCGATCTCGTGAATCACCAAAAGTTGTTTCAGAGAAAGTAATGAGGCAATAAGGTTCCAAACTATTTTTTCTGTATGGCGATAGAATATTCAATGCAAAAAATCGAAAATTTGTTGCGAGCAAATTTTTCAAAGAAAATTTTTGCTCTATTTATCTAGCATTCTCGTACTTTCATTTTACATGTGTAAACTCATTAGCCAATATTCCGTGAGATAATAAAAGATACACCTCTTATTTTATTAATTAAATTTATTAGTTGTACATGCACATCAAATTAATCGTATTATTATGTTTACGTATGTTAATGCAACTACTTTCCGGTCCAACCACGCCAAACTTCTTCAACAGTCTTTGCTTTAGTTTCAGGAACAAGTCTTCTAGCCAAAATAAAGGATCCGGCCAGATATATAGCAAAAATGTAAAAAACGTATCCACCAATCATTTTGCTGACACTTAGAAATACAAATCCAATTATAAAATTCGACACCCAATTCAAACCCATACCCAAACTCGATGCTGTGGCAGCAGCGTGAGTATCGACAATTTCGGGTGTGATCAGGAATGGAATCGGTCCTAGTCCGAAGGAAAAAGTTGCAACAAATAATATTATGGATAAGGCTGAGAGAAAACCATAATCATGAATAATTCCAAATCCTAATAGAGCACTAGCTGCACTCATCGATCCGATAGAATACAATAACAAGGTTCTCCGCCCGGACCTATCCATCAAGTAGGCAGACACAAGAGTCATCAACGTATTTACGACACTTATGTATACGGTGATTAAGTCACTTGAATCTGGAAGTATTTTGGATAAAATGTTGGTTGAATAATACAAGACGGCGTTGATACCTGACAGTTGTTGAGTAGAATGAGCGAGTAAAATCACTTTTAGAGCTGGGCGATAGTGAGGACTGGTAAGGAACTTCCAGACATCGAAGCCGTCACTACGTGTGTGCGCGCGAAACACAACAGGTGGTGGATCTGCAGGATCCGCTGTTATGGCATCACCATCTTCACTTCCTAGTGATAGAGGTACATTATCATCATCGGCTATTACTTCTTCCGAAGCAACTTGTTGCCATCCGCCAAGTTCATTTTCGATATCAGCGTTTCCCCGCAACTTTTGCAATGCCCGTTTGGCAGAATGAAATCCACCAGGTCTAGAGGCGAGAAAACGCGGTGATTCGACAGAGAAGCCAAGGACGATGATTTGAATAATCGAGATCACAGCACCACCCAAGAGAATGAGACGCCATCCGGGGACATATGATAGATAAAGACCCACTAATTGCGAAAATAGTATACCCGTGACGATACCAAGCTGATTCATCACGCCTGATGAAAATAATAATATTTAATTGTTTTCGTCAACTTTTTAATGCAGTAAATTTCTTTTTTCCTTGCGCATACCGAAGGTTCCACGGTACTCGACGGGCGATATCTCGGCAAGATACATAGGAACGACAACTGTCACCTTAATTTTAAAGTCAAATGCTCATGCATATTGAAAAAGATTCATAACGCAAATAGACCAGTTTATGAGGTTTAACTCACTACGCCGCAGCCAATTCCAACTAACACTCTTCCAAAGACCAGAGTGGACACGCTGTTAGCAAACCCCATTATTATAGGCGCAATTCCCAAAAAAAAGTTGTTGAGAAGTAAAGTCTGGCGTCTTCCTTTGCTATCCGCGACGCGTGAAGCCAACAGAGAGCCTAAAAGACCTCCCAAGGTAAAAATGGCTGTCACTAAGCCAACCTCTGCATCGTTCATTTTTATGCAAGGCGATAGAGAGTATTCCGAAAGGACTGTATCTTTGGGGATTTTTTTACAGGAAATTACATCCTGAGGAATGTTCAACTCGCCGATCTGTCGAAAAGGAGATATTAGCTTTTGAAGAGAGCCCTTCGCGATATGTGCGAGGATAAATCACTAAATTACGTGGTATCCATATTGAAAAGAGCCCAAGACAGCGGCAAAGGAACAAAATAAGATGTAGAAGTTTAACTCAGCCATCAGGAGGTTGGGAGTGACACATTGACATCGAAAAGTCCATGTATATCCAAGTCTTGCTCATTGGATGTACGCACGTTATGTATGTACGTAACGTATGTTCCACCTGATTGTCACACAACAAATGATCACTTCGTCGCTGAGGACAAATTTTTTCTGTTTAGTTTTTATCAACGTGTTGGGTTCTTAGTAATGATGTCGGAAACGAACGGTCCACTATCAAACGGCAAGGTTCCTTCTACGGAAGGGCGTGATCCAGCTTATTTTTCATATTATGCCATGTTACAGCATCAGGTGGTTTTCAAGCACTCAAGAACTTTTAGTTCCAACGCGTCAAAGAAAAACTCCTGGCTACTTTGTTAAATAGAGAGTTTTGTTTTAACAACAGCAAAATATGCTCCAAGATTCTGTACGTACCTCCACTTATCGTTCAGCCATTCTTCTTAATGGGCCGATGTGCTTTCTCGGCAAACTGGTTCTAGACGTTGGTGCCGGTGAGTTTTCCCACTAAAAACAAAAAAAAAAAAAGAAAAGTACTTGTGTTTGACGTCAACTATAAATTATTTTTACATTGAACAAAGGTTCGGGAATATTATCATACTTTGCGGTTCAGGCAGGTGCAGAGAAAGTGTATGCTGTCGAGGCTTCACAAATGGCCGAGAAGATGCGTAAACTTGTCAAGGCCGCAAATACTACCGAGTCAGACGGTACCGTCAGGAATGCTTTTCTAAAGAATAAGATCGAAGTCATCCAAGGTTATTCTTAATAAAAAACCGAGATTTCACGAACATTAAGGTATTTAGTTTTGATTTTGACTTTGACGTATACACTTTTGATACAGCCAAAATCGAGGATCCAGGTCTTCCTATTCCACAAGTGGACACCATCGTTTCTGAACCGATTGGAGTCCTTCTAATTCATGAGAGAATGGTACGGTGGATACATATATTAAAATTTATTATATATATTTATTTTATAATGTATTAATTGATTTTGTGAAGCTTGAAAGTTATCTTTTCGCTCGAGACACTTACTTAAAGCCCGGAGGTACACTTTTTCCCTCAACGGGATCCATATATCTTGCTCCTTTCACGGATGCCACTTTATGGAGCGAAACGAAGGGAAAAGCGCGATTCTGGGAACAAAATTCATTTTACGGAGTAGACCTTTCGGCATTATATGGCGATGCTAAGGATGAAATGTTTGGTAAGCTAGGATCTTCAAAGTGTAACACCAATTTTTTTTTTTTTTTAATGAATAATTAATTCATATAGCGATAATTTAATTGCTATTGGATGGTAAGGTATGCCTGTGGTCGGAAACTTTGACCCACATACTCTAATTGCGCCCGCGGATCCTTTAGGACATGTTGTAGACTTTTATAGCGTAACGTTGGAAGACCTTCAAGATATGACTATACCTTTTAGTTGGCGAGCATCCTACACTGGGATTATACATGGAATAGCTGGTTGGTTTGACCTGCACTTCTCACCACCACCAACTGTTCTCAATGGAAGCACAATCACAATGTCTACCAGCCCCGCAGCAGAGCGCACTCATTGGCAACAAGTTAGATTTTTACTGAAAGATCCCTTGGCAGTAAATGCTGGGCAAACGATTCAGGGACAGATGAGATGCATAGTGAATGAGATGAGGTCATATACAATAGAAGCTGAAATAATGACCAGCGACGGTCAACCTGATCCCATGAACACGTCACCTTCATTATTTAGTTCGGACTTTAATCGTCGGAGAGGAAAATGGAGATTGCACGAACAAACCTATAATTATAATTATTATCCTCAACCTGATAACATATTCAGGCCAGAATATAATTGTCTATATGAACCTGAACAACCTCTAGATGTTACAGTAGTTGTGGAAGATAATTTCGTTGACGAAAATCAGTTTATTATTTAAGATCACCATCTTCATTATTACCAATGATAGAATTTATAAATATACGTGATGTTAAACTCTTTTTTTCGTTAGATTTTAAAGAATCACTTTATTTTATCAAATAGTCTTGGAAGGGTGGCGAGGAAGTTTGAGTGAATGAATGAATAAATCACGTATGTCAGCAGAAATAACTTAGAAGGTTCGATGTCATGTGGACGTGAACATAAATATTTTTTTTTTCGATAGCGTTTATTGTCAAGTTTATATACATATATATATATCATTATCTTATTGATCGATTGTATATCTTTACTTATTTACATAAATATACGAATGATTAAATGTTGGCAAAGTAATTCCCATTATTTCTTTAAAGAGCTTAAAAGCCCGATTAAATGGGTAAAACAAAGCGGTATGGAAGGATCTGGTCGTTTCGAGGCTCAAAGTACGTAAAATTATGACATAAAAACCGATTACTTGAAAAATAAAAATTTCTCTCATTTATTTCATGTAAAGTACGGAAAAAAATAACTTTTCTATATAGATCTAAAAACGGCAAGACACAAATTACAGGGTTGTACAGTAACAAACCTTTATTATGAATTATTTTTAAAAGTACCTAAGCACGACTTCACCAGTTACCAATAAAATGTTTTTTCTTTGTCTTTCGTGGTTCCAATGCGGTACACCTTTAGTCTTCGTCCCAATTTGGATTTTGCTGCGGAGGTTTTGGACCACCAGCCGGTTTACTCATGATAATCTGTATAATTGAGGACACACGAAGTTAGTATGCTTCTCATTCGTTATCTGTCTTGATACTCATCAACAAAAAAAAACAAACCTGATCAACTCTTAAAACCGTTAAAGCCGCATCGGTGGCAAATTTCAAAGCCCAACTTTTTGCTTGTAAAGAATCCAAAATGCCAGCCTTGACAGAATCCAAAGTACATTCTTCAGACTCGCTTTCAACATCTACACCAATCACGCCACTGTCATCCTGATGATGTGCTGCGTAAAGTTTTGAGAGAATTTGTGTGGCATCCAATCCTGCATTTTCCGCCAGAGTACGTGGAAATACTTCAAGTGCCTCCGCAAATGATTTTATGGAATGCTGATTAATCCCAGGTGTTTTCTAATTGTAGAATAAAGAAGATTTTATCATTCCATCATCAAACGAAAAAACAAAAAAATGAATATACAATAAACGCGTCATTACCTCTCCAAAGGATAGTAATCGTTTGGTCAACTCCATTTCAGTTGCACCAGCTCCAGGAACTAGACGACCGTCCCGGGTAACTGCTTTTACGATATTCACACCGTCATCAATAGCACGTTCAATATCATCAAGGTGATTCTGAGTTGCACCACGAACTACGATGGTAGACGTTTTGGAACTTTCATTTTCTGTTATAGTGTTACGATATCAAAAATCATGTCATATTGATGAGAATTATCAAAGATTTCACAATTCTTAATGATGGTAATAATAACAACCTTGTCTAAAGACAGTGACCCTGTCTCCGCCAATTTCAACAGTCTCAACGATATCACAATATCCCATTTCCTCGGGCATAGGTGGTCCTAGTCTAGCTAAAGGCGTAGCACCAATCACACGACACAGTCTACGTAGATCGAATTTCGATAATACCTTTATGGCCATTATGTTAAATCTGTTTAAATAATGTAAAGCCAAATCTCCTATACCGGAACCGGTGACCACTACATTAATTCCAGCATCGGCTAATTCTTTAAATATCTAACGATATAGAGGATCCTGATTAGTGACAAAAAAAAAGAACCGGACGATTTACTCGATTGTACCCACGCGCAAATACCTTTTCCATATGTTGCTCTTCACCTTTTGTGAAATTCATCATTTCTTGTGCGTTATGAATTAGCACAGTTCCTTTGGTTTCAGTTTGAGCAGTATCCAAGGAACACGTGAAAACTCCAACTTTAGCTTTAAGTGCTTTAGTAACAACACCCTCGGGCTCGCGACCAAATACCATACCCTTAACCACTTTGCTCTCATAAATACTACTACCCATGATTTTTACCACTCGAATATTGTCCACATTAAAAGCTGCCGGATTCTTTGGCATGATGATGAGTGCTGCCTCGATTACCAAATTTGAAAGTAATTCCTCGTTGCCATACTGCTTAGCGGCAATGACTGGCTTAACTGCCCTTAAAAGTTGATCTTCGGATCTATAATCTGTTATTGTTTCCACACCGAGACCTACATATCACGCAATTAATTGGTTAGCATAATTATCCAATATGGCTTCTTTATCCGAACAAAACCAAGAATATATAATGCAGGTCAGAAGAAAAATCAACAATAGACTCTAGTAAGTAAAATAATGTTGTCTGGATTACCTGCCAAGATTTCTGTTGCTTTGCTACTAGCGAGTTCATAACCTTGCACAATTTCACTTGGGTGCAGTCCCATCCGCAGTAAATATTCTGCTTTTTGAAGTAATTCACCCGCGAATATTATAACAAAGTTAGTCGCGTCTCCAACCTAAATGATTAAAAGTACTTGTCAATTTTATTATTATTTTATTGTATTGTTGACTGGGTGACTCGTATCCACGTATGATCATGAGATGTCCAATAGTGATAATAATGCACCCTAAATAATAATGATACTCCATCTTCTAAATATCATTTATACGTGAGTAAAGCATTCCTTTACCTCTTGTTCTTGTTGTTGACTAGCCATCACCAATAATTTTGCTGCGGGATGTATAACTTCCAATTCTCGAATAATCGTAGCAGCATCATTGGTGACGAAAAGTTTCTCAAGGTGATTGATCACCATCTTGTTTCGTCCTATTTGGTTTGTTATTAAATCAACCCGTATTTAATATTCGCGAAGCGTAATATTCAATGTATTTGATTATCCTAATATGTCATACCATTTGGCCCAAAGGAAGTTCTTACAATTTCTGAAAGTTCATGGATTGCTTGAATATTTCTTATGACAGCTTCTTCAATACCTTGGAGGTTCTGAGGACGTAAATGCCGCGAGAAATATATGTTAACATCAGGAAATACTTATATACCGTGCAATCATGATCTCATCGCAAACACAAACCTTATAACCTTCTTTAAAAAGTTGAGGATAAGCACTCTTTGGAACTCGCAATGCCATTTTCCAGAAACAAACTAAGTTAGGGAATTCGAAAAGAATAAAAACACGTTTTATAATTAACTTGTGTCGCATCACGTGAAATCGATTTGAGCATAAATCTTTTTGTTAATCGTTAGATCTGTTTAACTTGAAATCATGGCCCAAAAGCCGCTCGGAAAAAATTCAAAATCATTACTAGCAAATAAGGTTTCAAAAAAATCGGGCAAAGGAAATAAGTCTCTTGGACTGAAGAAAGGAGGCGAGCTTTTGCATTAATAATTCACAATCAGTAGGACTGACGACGTGTACTAAATTAATTAACCCTTTCTCGCATCTTAAAATTTGTAGCAAAGATAATAGCACCCAAGCGGCAATCCGTTATAAAGCAGAAACTCATACAAAAAGTTGTACATCCCTTTATTTAACTGTTCTACTTTGAAGTATGAACATTCTAATATTTACTCCATTAAAAAAACATTCCGCATTTATTTATCAATATAGAAAATCACATCGGGCATAAATAAAAACATCGAACGTGCAATAGCGTCAAGAGCTGAAGCTGTTGGCGGGGGACAGAAATTTAATATAATTAAACCCGGGGAAGGTCCTGCAAAAGACGGAAAGAAAAGTAAAAAACAATAAATTTAAAATATAAACTTTATAAAATAATTACTATAAAGTAATTTTTGTAATAAAAAAATATCAATTTTTGTTTTTTTAAGAAATTCTGCTGTAAACTTAAAGTTACAAAATTTTTTTTTTTCAGCAGCAGCTGATTGGGGACACATTATAGATCATTATAAGATTATTTGATTTGACTTGTAGTACAGGAATTTCTTGATCTTAAATTTATAAAATTTGCAATATGAAATTTTATTAAAAAACGAAATAATTATAATTATTTGATAAAAAATTTATTTAAAAAAAAAGAAACATGTTTTTAAATAATTTTATATATGAAACATCAATAATAACAAAATAAAGATTTAATTTTATACTAGAAAAAACAGTTTCAATATATTTAATTATAATTGAAATTTATTGTAATTAATTATTTCTTTTTTTGGGGGGTTTCTCCTTATAGGTAAGCATCATTTCTTTATTTGATATTGTATATAACATGGTATACATCATGAAAGAAACAACATCTCTT